AAATCATTGGCTGTCGCGGGCCGGATTGATGACACTGGCGGGCCGGATTTGGCCCGCAGGCCGTAGTTTGGAGACCTGGGTTAGAGTATAAAATGATTGTAATTTAGAAGTAACTTTTAGTTTATGCTTGAGAAAGCTATTGTATAGCGAAACACGTGTCGTGGTTTTTATAAAACCCTTTATAGTGAAAATCAAACAATAAACTGTATTATTTGTTTTTTTACGAAAATATTAGAAAGAATTCATTATGTAAAAATTTATTTCTCGTTTACAGGTTGCCAGAATTTCATGTTTGACTCAGATGACTACTGGACATGCGCCATTAGACAAATTTCAGCAACCATGGGCGACCAGACTTCCACTTGCAAGATGGGCCCTCAAAACGATCGGGAGGCAGTAGTCGATTCGAAATTGCAAGTTTACGGCGTTTCGAATCTACGAGTCGCCGACGCCAGCGTAATTCCACTACCTCTGGCCGCCCATACCGCAGCACCAACTTACATGATAGGAGAAAAAGCTGCGGATATGATAAAAGGCAAATGGTTGCAAAAGAGTTGAGCATTTCTGGTCCAGTGATGTGAAAACAAGCTTTGATAATTGTTTTGAGTTCATTTTTTTAATTTATTGACCTACTTGTAGAGTCTAGTGGAAAAACGAGATCGGGTTCCATATTTTGGCAGAAATGAGATTTAAGTGATATCTGCTGGTTAGTAACATGAAGTATTAACACACCCAACGACAAACGGAAAAAACAATCGAATAGGCTTGTTTCGTGCTATTGAAGACTATACTGGTTTGCTTATAGACTGATCGAGTTAGGGGTATATTTTATTTATCAAGCCTAATCGGCCCTAATACCTCTTTATTTTTGCAGAAAAAAGAAAAATTCGAGAAGCAAAAGTTTAAGTTGGCCGCGTGTCTGTTGAGCAATAAAATTGATCGTGTCTACAGCGGTGTTGTCAAGTGCCAATTATTTTAACAAAAATACTAATTTTTGACACATTTAAAACAGTACATTGTCTCATACATTCAAGAGAGAAAGCTAACTGGGTGGCAATACGGCTAATATACGTTGAGTTTCTTATTTTTGGTGGGTGGCATGAATGCATAATTGATTTATTTTATTAGGGTTAATGAGCCTTCGAGAACCATTTAATAATAGAGCTCGTTAAATTATATTTAGAACCATAATTTTCGAGTACATTTTATTTCATATGGAGAAATTTTTCATGAATTTAAACGTTAACGGGTTCGTATACACTTCCGTTAATAAAATTTCTGTGATATCAACATGAAAATGTCTACTGCCGGAGATATATAAAAAAAAAGTTTTTATTGCGTTTTGTGTTATCTGGATCCCATGTATAATTAATTCTCCCTTCCAAAGCTTTTCTTGCACTTGCTCCTTAGATTTAGTTGTCGGAAGTGAGTGTGATTTTACTTCAAATCACCAATGAATCAGAAACTGTTTGTACGCTCCATCAATTCGAAATTTGGCAATGTTCATTATTTGTATTGTTCCTATTGGTCAATCGAACAAGAAACGGGACTAGGCCCGTGACGTCACGGGCCTAGAAAATTTGATTTCTAGTAATTTATTACGGAAAACCAACGCTATTTAAAGGGCTGAAACAAAGTGCACTATTTTTCAATTTGAAATTACTACTATATGAACTGTAAAACAAAAATCATGAAACAAGCCCATCCAAATTCCAGAAAGGTCTGTAGACTTTGAACCTGAGATTCAGTTTTCATCAGAATCTGTTAAAATGAAATCTCATCGTTTTCCATTGGACCCCTTGTATTTATTTCAATTAACTAATGTATTCATTGAACATATCAAGAAATATCCAGAATATATTTCATTTATTTTGTATTTCTGAAATTATATGAACTGAAACGATTTTAGGCCTCTAGTTAGTTAACAAACAAGTCATTCTTATGATGGAAAATCAGTAACCAAAAGTGAAAACTATCGAGAAGAGATACATACGTATAAGGAAATAAACATTTTGAAATAAATTTCGATATAATTCAATATCCAGCGTGGTATTAGCCGGAGTAGAATTTGTTTTCCGACAGACGTTTAACAGATCCTACTGTGTATATAGTTGTGAGAGATTAATATTTCGAAATTTACTTCGAAATGTCACACATCACAGAGTATGCATTTTCATAAATTCATAAAAAGATGTTTCCATTAATATATTCTTCAACTCGTGTTTAAATGAAGACAATTTATTATCCAAATTGCGAGTAAAAGTGTCCTTATTTTCTTTGATACCATAAAAGACGAAAAAAATTAGGACTCTACAGGAACTTGAACAGAAGTAAAAAAGAATATAATATATCGATTTTCGATACTAAATTCATTATCTGAATTCCATTAATGTTTATGTTAAGGCGTGAAATTATTACTGAAAATTTACGTCAAACCATATTGTTCTAAATAGTTAGAAATACTTCCGACTAGATTATTATCGATCAAGAATAAGGACTGTCAAAAATCACTGGTCACAAGGATCTGATATGATAATGATCGGCATTGATCTCTTCGGCAAATCACCTCCACAATCGTACCGAGAATGTCAGATAAAAGTTTCCCGCAATGGAGTGGTGGGCTTGGCCCTAGGAACGATTTACATAAATCTAGTTACTTGCATCGACAATTATTCACAATGAACTGAACGTTCTTACGAGTTCTAATAACAAAAAAAACTACAGTGAAGTTTACAGTGTGACGTTCAACGCCAATTAAAATTAACAAAAAGGTATGTACAGAAACAAAAACTATCGAAATGATTTCACTGACAATCTATATCCAGGAATGAAGAGTGAAATTTTGGTAACCCTATCGAAAAACTGAAAAAATATTGAAACAAAAATTCAGAAGTTTACTACAAGTTTACTCGATACCAAATGTTGCTTTACCATTATAGTGATCATCGATTATATCATCGAATGTCAATACTGAAACACTGAGGTGATGACTTGTTCGATTGATAACTTATTCATTTTCACACACTACACCTTATGATTTGATCTTCACAAACTATTTTAAAAAATATCACATGTTTTGGTATCACAATAGCTTTATCGTAGTGAATATGTTACTCAGGATCAAATCGTAAGGTGTTGTTTTGTCAAATTACTATGAATTTTCATCTAGTAATGGCATCGTCCATATATGGACGATGGTAATGGCCGAGTTAATCAGAAAAAAACCCTATTTATTTTTTGGAAATTCATATTGAATATACGATAAAGAAAATTACTTTTGTCTTATTTCTGCTGAGTTTTTTATTTGTTGTGACCGATTTCGGTTTGTTAAACCATTTTGTCATGCATTTGACGAACAAGTCCTTAAATATACAATAATACAGTTAATATGATTTTTGGTACGACTAGTAGGTACCTGAAATAACAAATTTTACCTGAATTATCAATAACAATACTAAAACATTAACTATTCAACTATTATAACTTGCCATCATTATAACTATTGATCCAAAAACCTAGTTATGGATTTCTCCAACCACCAATGGATCCTGAATTAGTTGTCAAAACCACAAATTCGAAAGTGGGGAGATGCTTAACTCTAGTTGGCTGCTTAGTTATATTTAGAAAAATTTACATTTTCGGCGTTTATCTGGTGAGTGATCTTTCAGGTCAGATGGTGAGAGTACGGATCTGCCAAACTCTAAAAACTTTTTATAACATATCAACATTACCAACTACTGATCCAATAACCATCAATGGATCCTGATGTAGGTTCTTCTCAATGGAAAATTACGTGTCAACTAAGATGTGGGTATTTCATTTGAAAATCATTATTAGAAATGAGAGAAATAATTATATTCATGATAAAATAGACTCTTCAACTGAGGTTTCTTCAAAAATTAGAATGGTTGAGTAGAACAGCCTTTTGTCTGAATACCACAAACTCCTATAGCTTTGAAATGTATATTTCAGAAGGAATATGAACATGGAAATAGGAATAGAATAACTTTTAATTTTGATGAGCGACGAATCTAAACGGTATATTGGTAAATATGCCCTATGCATTTATATCTAAAACTTTTTTATGGAACACTTTTGGATAGTTCGCTGCCGCTGAAACTTTTAATTGGAGCACGATGTGACCACACTGTATATGAAGTTGGAGAAAGTGATTTGAAAAAACTCCATTGTTTTTTGCAGATATAACTGTAACACGGAATGCTTGTTTTATGATTTTTCCTATTCATTCTCCACTCAAGGCAAAATGACTCATAAATTCTCAGTACCTACACATTCCACCTTGAATTTTCCATACAAGCGAACAATCTCGTTAATATTGAACTGAGTATATCAAATATGAGTTGTTAAAATAAATTGGTTAAAATATAAGCACTTGATTGATGTTCTAACATGTTCAATAACAATGCATTTGTCTTTCTTCAAACGGAATATCGCGGAAAATGAATCACTGTATTTTTTTCAGAATCGGCAAAACATGTTTATGAAAGGCAATCTGCTTTTCCTCCTACCTTTGATAGCAAATATACAAGCCTCTCCTTTTGAACTAACAGAAGCATATATTGAGAGCTTTTCTCAAGGTCTGCAAGAACTGAAAAAAATTTCTGAAGAGTATGAATACCAAGAGGAAAACTTCGTCGCTGAAATGTACGACTCGAAACAATCTCTGACTGGTGAGTTCGAACAAAATGGAACAGATTAACTAATTTCAATTTGATTGTTTTTATATTTCGTCTTACAAGCTCAACTTTTCCTATTCAATTCGTGACATTCCATTTTGTCCATTTCATTTAATACTGTTTGCGAGACAATCTGAATACAAAAAATACTCAATTTGCCAATTTTGAATTGTCGATTGTAACATACCAATTATTTAAAAATTTATTTTCGCCATATTTTCACACATCTAGAATTCCTCTAAGCAGTCTGCAGTCTATTCAAAGCCAATATTGTTTGCTTGATAATTTGCTTGAATATTATCGTCATTCATAGAAAATTGAAAAGATCTGTTGAGTATATCTTTTGCTTCTTCCTGGACTTTGTTATTCCCTAATATAAATCAGTTCAATTATTTTCTTCGTGATAATTAGGCTACATGTGATTGAAAGGTTAGAAATTTCAATTTCTCTCTTATGCTGGCTTTTATTTAGTCATCGATGATTTTTAGAGTGATGTAAAGATTGCTAATTCCCTAAATTAAATATTCAACAACTTATTTTTTGGATATCATTGTTTTAATGGAAATTCTGCATCCTCCCTGTTTTAGGTTAGACGACTTTTTTTTTATTGTAATTTCAAGTCATCGTCTAAATCGAGTAATGTCACAGACTTTCCTCTAGTTAACGAGAATTTGCTGTGAGTATATTTTTGTCAGGTTCGATTTATTTTCAAAATCGAATTTTTCACTAATTCACCTACTGCCAGTAATATAGTTATGCTTTGCATGCCTCTTTCATCGGTCACCTTGTGAAAATCAGTATCCTCTCCGTGTAAAATTTTCAGATAATTGGCATTTGATTCCTGTGGAATATCTTTTACATTGATATACCTGTTGCTGCACTGAGACTATCAGTATCATCAGGAAGTGAACTATAGAACTGGACTTGTGACGCACTGTTTGGATCCTTTGGTGTAGTAATGAATATTACTGGAATTTTTTCCAACACCAAACCATTATTTTAACACCTCGACACGTGTTTCGATCACCAAGTGATCATCTTCAAGAGGAATATCAAACAGTTTGATCTTCCGTTTTTTTTTCAGATGCAAAGGAGTACGATTTCATCATAATTGGATCTGGCCCATCAGGATCGGTCATAGCAAACAGGTTGTCTGAAATTCCGGAATGGAAAGTATTACTTTTGGAAGCCGGAGCTCCGGAAACGAAGATAAGTCAAGTTCCTTCGATGTACCACTATTTACAAACCACTCATTACGACTGGAGGTACTCTACTGTTTCACAAAATCATTCATGTCTAGGTAAGTTTCTATGTTCATTTTGCATTGGAAATAAGTGGAAAATCCCTCTGATTTTTTTTTGAAGCACAAATAAAAAGTGTATACTTTGTTCGCTATGTTTCAAGATGTCCTAGAGAAGGATTGAACGATTAATAGTATGCAAATGGAATGACTACTGAACATCTAGAACGTTCGATATTTTCAATTTTTTTCTATCGAAAATTATTTTTAGGCATGGAAGAGCACAGGTGTTCGATAGCAGCCGGAAAAGCACTTGGTGGAAACACAGCTGTGAATGATATGTTATACGGTAGAGGAAATCAAAGAGACTACGACCTATGGGCTGATCTTGGACTACCAGAGTGGTGTTGGAATGACGTCCTGCCTTATTTCAAAAAGATTGAAGATGCTCACATTTCCGATTTTGATAGAAAACATCATAATTTGGGTAAGATATTTTCAATTTCTTAAGAGTATCTATAAAAAATCAGAAAATAACAATAATGCATGGTTATTGTGCGAATTTCACTTTGAGTCCTCATCAAACTAACCATTTTCATATCAGACACTGACCTTATATGTCACTGGAGTTGGTAATACCATCAAAAAATTCAGTAATGAAACAACTCGATACTAAAGACACAAATTTTTGCACAATATTCCACAGGAGGGCCACTACATTTGGAAAATTACCAACATTCCACAATCCTAGGTCATACCATACTCCAAGCAGGTCATGAACTCGGTATCAAAACAATCGACTACAATGGCAAAGAACAGCTCGGCCTAGCAATTCCTCAAGCGATAACGAAAAATGGCAAGAGAAACAGTGTAGCGCAGGCTTACCTGGAACCTGCTAAGAAAAGAAAAAATCTGGAGGTGGTACCTCTAAGTCGCGTCATTCAGATTCTCATCAGTCCTCACACCAAAGAAGCTTATGGCGTGAAATTCATTCACGATGGCCACCTTTATGTAGCTAAAACTACGAAGGAAATCATTTTGTCTGCGGGAGCCATCAATACTCCACAGTTATTGATGCTTTCTGGTAAGTAATTTTGGAGTTGATTCACACGTTTCAACTCCTCAATCTCAATCCTAGTCGCATTATGACTCAGTATATTTTTTCTTCATCACATATGAAAAACCAGTTTTCAGTGCTCATCGATTTCTTCTCTAGTGACAGAAGTAAGTAGTACCGTATACAATATTTTATTAAGTAATATTGATTTATGATTAAATACTGTGAAGGGTTTTGAACAATGTTCTTAGAAGTTGAGATACTAGTTGTTGTTTTTGTTTTACTACGACGCCAGGTGTCTTTATACACTGGTGTAGCGACGCGCAAGTAAAGAATTTTCATATGAATCAGATGATCAATAAACTTGATTTCATTTGGATTTGAACTTTTTCCTAAATATCGTAGGATGCCGCCCCTTCCACAGTTGATTGTACAGTCCAGTTTTAAAAATTATTCAACATGATAATGTGAATTGTGATTCATTTCATAGAATAATAGCGAATACATGTATAATAACCAACCAACTTTAAACTATTAAATTCACGACGAGTACAAAAATCTAGAAACTAAGTATGGAATAATAAGTTTTCAATTTTGAAACAAACTTTTCAACCTCGATTGTTGAGTCAAAACATAATATTTGTGGTATTGCACTAACTCCACTTCTTTAGTTCAAAAGTAACAATTGATAACTGTAGAATTGACTGAGGCACCATCTTTTGGCCACTTATAAACAACTACGTCTAGTTCTCAATTTTTTTCTGAAACAGGAGCGTCTCTTTAAAATTACCAGTGTACAGGCATCATAGTTTCATTTTTGTCATAATTTAAAATATATAGCAAGATTATCTAAGGGCACAATCCACAATCTACTGGTAACTTCTGAACAACTACGTCTGGTCTTCAATCTTTTCTGAAAAAAACATGCCTCTCGAGCTGTCAGAGTATATGCATCATAGTTTAACAAGAATAGACGTCATTATTTGACGTTTGTCTGAATTTCAATTCTGAAAATAAATAGAAATATTGACTAAGGGACCATCTTCTGGCAACTTCAAAACAACTATCACTGGTCTTCAATATTTTCTTGAAACAAAAACGCATCTCTCGAACTATCTATGCATAATCATCGTAGTTTGACGTTTGTCATAATTTCAATCGCTAAAATAAATAGCAATATGGACTGAGGGCATTATCTGCTGCCAACTTCTGAACAACTATGTCTGGTCTTCAATATTTTCTGAAATCAGTATATGAGTTTCGTAGACATTTGTCACGATTTCAATCGCTGAAATAAATAGCAATATTGACTGAGGGCATCATCTGCTGCTAACTTCTAAACAACTATGTCTGGTCTTCAATATTTTCTGAAATAAAGAATGATCTCTCAAATTATCAGTGTATAGGCATCGTTGTTTGGCATTGGTCATAATTTCAATCGCTAAAATAAATAGCAATATTGCCTGAGGGCATCATCTGCTACCAACTTCTAAATAACTATGCCTGGTCTTCAATATTATCTGAAACAAAATTGACTCTCGAATCATCAGTGTATAAATTTCGTAAACATTCGTCATGATTTCAATTGCTAAAATAAATAGTAATATTGACTGAGGACATCATCTGCCGCTAACTTCTAAACAACTATGTCTGGTCTTCAATATCTTCTGAAACAAAGGATAATCTTTCGAACTACCCGTGTATAGGCATCTTTGTTTTGGTCATAATTTCAATCGCTAAAATAAATAGCAATATTGCCTGAGGGCATCATCTCCTACCAACTTCTAAATAACTATGTCTGGTCTTCAATATTATCTGAAACAAAAATGCCTCTCGAATCATCAGTGTATAGATTTGGTAGACATTTGTCATGATTTCAATTGCTAAAATGAATAATGATATTACCTAAAGGCACTATCTTCTGGCAACTTATGAAAAACTATGGTTTAATATTTTCTCGGTACTGCCATGTTAGATTCAGCACGTGTGAGCGTTTACTTCTGTGTATATGAATTGAGAATGAACTATGGTATTATTCATTCAATTTTGAGTTTAGTGGCCAGCAAAATTGTACTAATTCAACTATTAAATGAAGAATGGAAACATTTCGATTGTTAAAAAGAAATAATGTTTTTTGTAAAATATAATCTACAATCTAGATAGTAATGAAATTAAGTGAATTATTATTACATTTTTTCTACTTGGCCAATAATTTGCAACTCTCTTACAGGAATTGGTCCCAAAGAAGAACTGGAACAACTCCATATTACTCCTGTCGCCGACCTCAGGGTAGGAAAAAATTTAAAAGATCAAGTCGGATTCATTGGTTTGAATTTCATACTCAACGAAACCTCTAAAGTTCATGGAGAATCTGAATTTCTCATGGAGTATCTCAAGAATGGTAAAGGTCCTCTGACCTCTGCAGGAATTGAAGCTGTAGGCTTTCTCAAAACAGATGCATCAAAAGAACAAGCCCACTACCCAGATATCGAACTCCTAATTTCAAACAACATATATAACAGAGGTGAGAGGAATTCAAGACATAACAATCAAAAGCTATACCTTGCTCTCTTTTTTCAAGAAATCAACAAGAGGTTCGATTTTTGTGTTGAAATTACCACTTCATCACGTAATTTTCAAATCCTTACCCCTTCGGCATTAATACCTGACAATTCCAACTTTAAAAATTCAAATGACATATTACCACTTGTAATAACTTGATTAATAACATCTTTTATACTGAATACAAAAATTTTTTTTGAAAAATCATTAAAAATAAAATTGAATGTTCTATTTGCCGGCCACTAAAGAGACGGGCAAATTTCTGAAGAATCCTCTTCTCTGAGCGTCCAACATGTCTGTCAACATAAACTTTACTTTTAAATGACCCCAAAGAAAGTAATCCAGCAGGGTTAATCTTGCTGATCGTGCTGCTTATCAATTAGGTCCCTATCTCCTACGCTAGCGATCAGGAAAAATCGAGGTGTAGCCAAACTGACGTATCCTTCTGCTGCAACCAATTCTATAATAAAATACATTAAGATTTTCAGCGTTGAAAAATTATACCGCAAAGGTAGGAAATGATTCATATCCACTGAACTGCTGAAGTATGACCCACTATTACGAAAACCCACTATACTAGTCTACACATTAAGCTTTTTGTGTATACGCAGGCTTTCAATGGAGATTTTGAACCAACCAGCCACGTCAATTAAACAAGAATTTATTTTGAATAATTTGAATTATTGAGGATTGATCATCATCTCACAAAATTGCATTTGTCCATCAAAATCATCATCAATTGCTTATGTTATGTTATTTATGTAATGTATTTGAATATGGAAATTTTGATTGATTGATTGACTGAAGACGTCTGATCAACTGTGAAATGATCGCCAGTAGGATTGAAACCGTTTAGCTAATTTTCTTTAAAAAAAAAATTTTCGTGTCCGGTTTTCATTTAGCAAATCCTATGGTCATGAAGACTTCGATGCTTTCGTTTTCAATAAGCCCCATTTCTTCATTTTTCTTGAATCGTAAAGAAAGAATAAAATTACCAAATTATGTTTGACACAGTAATAAACATGTTACAATTGTTTATACGACATTGTCAGTTTTGTTTCGAGAATGTCTTTTTCGTATACTGGAGGCCTTATTTAATTACACTTTATCGATTTTTTTTTGATTATCAATTGATTTCGACAATGTGGTGCTGCAGGTTTTTCCGGGTATTCCTGCAGCTGAAAAAGCAAATGCGCCACTGGAATTAATGAAGCCGCCCCGGAGCGCCAATGAATGTTTGCTGTTGTTTTATAATTTAATGATTTGTATTTTAGAATTATCAAAAAATGTATCACTTATGAATTTTCTGTCAAATTTAAATTCATAAAGTTTGGGTTTTCCATCAAGAATGATGAAAATTAAAATCGATTTGTCCTACTATCTATGTAAAAGTTTTCATGACTTTCGAAAAAGAAGATTAAAAAACTAAATATAGTATACACTGAGAATGAATATTACATGCAGTTATTCCAAACATTTAAAAGTAGTTTTCTATTTAGAATGAAAAGTACTATTCCTTATTTTCAAAATATTGAATGAAGCCTACTCTAAAAATTGTGCAATGACAATTTGACCCAATATTTCATATTCGAATCCCATTCGGTTCTCAAATTGCTTCACGTGTAGCACTTTTTTCGTGTTGATGATGCCAAAATATATCATTTGAGTTGCTTAGAAATCGATTTTGACCTCACATACCGAATATCAAACCAAATTTTCAATTTTGGATATTCATGTCCGATTTCCAAATAATAGTTCTAAATAAGAAGCTATAGCTAGAGTCACAAACTATGAGAGTGCTTTGAAACATTAAGAACGACGATTTTCCATTCAAAATTAGACACATTCGCAACCAATCATATTTAACAGGAAATTTAAAAATTCCTCAAAATTGGAGTCGATTAACTAACATTTGATGAAATAGTAATCTTCAATTTGAGCTGGGTTTAAGGCTATCAATCTGGCTAACAGCAGGGGAGCCCACGATGCAAAATGGGGATTTACTCGAGCGTCACTGGGACATATTAGGTTGGAAAGCTTAAATGATAAGAAGAAAAAAATGTTATATAACATATACCTTTTCATCGGTGGGGGAAGCGGCTATAGATTTTTAAATATGTAAAAAAACACTGTTGCATGGACATACTCGAGCGCGTCAGATATTGATAGCATCAATGTCCTACGTATTTTTAATGATGTTAGTATGTTAATCTGATCATTGGCATGATGTGGGTGGTTGTACGAAAGGGTTAAAAGTGAAAAGAAAAAAACCTAATCGAGCGCATCAGATTTTCTAAAGGGTTGTTAAGTGCAACAAAAAAAAGCTCTCATTCAATAATCTGACGATTTCGATCTGACGCAAACTCGCGGCCATTATTATAATGTGCAAAAAAAATTCGCCATTTTGAAATACTCAAGCGCGTCAGATTAAGATATATATGTTCATCTTTATGTTTTAGACGTGCTGTCTCATAGTCTAACCATTATCTAAAGGGATTCGCTCAATCTAACAAAAACAATATATTTTTTTATTTTTTTTTTAATTCATTGAACTCAATTGATTGAAAAGCTCAGGAAATAGCATGCAAATAAATAAGTGCATGTTTTTCAAGTAGAATACTTTATAAGAAATTTATAAGAAAACAATTTTTTTGAAATGCTCAAAAAAATTTAATTTTTTATAATCAATTGATTAATTAATGAAGAGAAGAGACATGGAACGGCAGTAACGTTAGTTACAAATAAAAGTGGTAAAAAACATAGAAAGTTTAATTTCTCTTTTCTTCATTATGATTTCCTACCACGAAGTAACGGCTACATCCATCAATTAATTGATTAATTAATCATCAGCTTCATCTTCATCACGAACGAGTCTCTGTGATCAGCTGTTATGGCGTCATGGCAACAGAATTTAGAGTGGGGACGGAGTGAGATAGTAATAGATAGAAAAAAAGTGAATAGAGAATAGAGGAATAGAAACTCGGAGAGGGAAATATAGGTATTACACTGCTGCACGCATTGAACTTTATCGAAGAATTTTTGTTATTTCGGCTTGCGGAAATCGTCAGATTATATATTTTTTGTTATCCTTGAATCATTTCCTTCAAAATGAAAAAAAAATAGCTACGCTCGAGAATGTCGAAATGACGTTATTTTTTTACAACTTTGCTGCCCTCCCCTTTCTTCACGTCACTCTATAAATTGTCAGATTACTGGGATATACACTTTTTAGCATGTAATTAACTCACCCTACCTTGATCTGACGCGCTCGAGAATTTCTGATGATCAATTTTTTTTACTAATCTGATCTGTTATCCCTCACAGGCGGCCTTAAATATGGGGCTCATATTTAGTGGAGGTACTTAACGGGGTACAAGGTGTCCCCCTGTATATTAATCTGCCGCGCTTTAGTAAATCCCGAAATCCCCGCTTGGGGTCCCCTATTATAATGATTGCGAAAAGTGCGGTCTAACCTGTATCAAAAATAAAATATCTGCTTTCAAAAACGACTAAAATACAGGGGTGTCTTTATCTTGCGTGTGTCACACTTTATAAATGACAATGAAAAAACTTGGTGAATTCTTCATTTTTGACGAATTAAAATCCTTTCACTTCCACAGGTCACCAAATTCAAAAATCTCTAAGAGTTAGAAAAGAAATCTACGACGCCGTTTGGGCTCCGTTAGAACCAGCAGAAGGCTTCTCCATCCAAGTCATACTACTCCACCCCAAATCTACCGGAGCCTTAACCCTTCATGACAGCGACCCACTACACCACCCTCTGATCAACACCAACTCCTTAACAGATCTAGACGACCGAGATGTGGAGAGCCTGCTGGCAGGGATCAAACTATCTCTGAAGCTTTCACACACTGATGCTTTACAAAAACTCGGCATCCATCTGAACCACAATAAAGTACCGGGGTGTGAACACTATGAAGGTGACAATTACTGGAAATGTGCCATCAAATATTTGTCCGTCAACTTGGGTCAAATAAGCGGAACTGCCAAAATGGGACCAGTGACTGACAAAGAAGCCGTGGTGGATGAAAAACTGAGAGTGTACGGAGTACACAAATTGCGAGTTGCCGACGCTAGTGTAATACCTGTGACCATTTCCTCCAATCTAATGGCGCCTTGTATTATGATTGGTGAAAAAGCTGCTGATTTGATTAAAGAAACTTGGAAGTGAATTTCATTAAAAGAAGAAATTGAATATATAATATATCCAATACATTGTGAAATATAGTTGTAGAGATCATATCATGAATTATAATTCATTTGGAGCTTCTTTCAATAAATGTTGTAAATTACCTACTACTCATATATTTTACTATACTCTTCGGAAAATGGGGCACCACACTCATAACTAAAATCCTAATCTCATTAGAATGATTAATAATAGAAATAGAATGTTTTGTAGTTCCAGATATAGCTTTCTATCACTTCTTCAATAGGAAACCAAGTGAAAAAAGTGCCAGTCAATTATCCAGGAGACATCGCTGATAGCTCTTGATCCTCAAGGTATCAGTGTAGATTTTTGGTGAAATGGCATCAAATGCACGAAAATCATTTACAATACAAGTTAAAAAATGAATACAATATATAAGCAGAGCTGAGCAAGAATTAATATGTTTCACCCCTTTGAACAGTCCGGTCAAATTAGACTAAAAAATAAGAGTGAAGGTACATAAATTTACAACATCCTGCAAATACGTGTAATTGTTCAAAACATAGTTAAAAATATGATTTCAAAATTCCGAATGATTGCGATGCCTGAAAAAAAATTTATTCGAGGTCAAAGGTCAAATATCTCGAAAAAAATTGGTTTTTCACGATTTTCATGGAAGTATCATGGAATAACCTCTGATAAAAATTGTAGATCATGAAATTCTTTACAAAAAAATGTATTAATACTTTTTTTTCTTAGAGCCACCGTTTCTGAGATACGACGAGTTAAAAAGTTGTAAAAATTGTAATCGGTAATCTCGGTTCATTTCAATGTTGAAGGATAAGTTTATTGGCGAAAATATATTGGTTAAACATGGTTAATAATGATGTCGACGTACTGATTATTGAAACAGCTATAGAGCAATTTAATTTGACAAATACAACTATTGTTGTTGGTGAAGATGTAGACTTACTCGTACTTCTTACTGCTCGAACTCCACCTGGAAAAACTATTTTCTTTCTGAAGCCAGGAAAAGCTCAAAGTCAAACCGAAATATATTCGTCAAAAAGTTTATCTACTTTTGCAAAGAGTCAAAATCATGTACTACTTTTACACATAATAACTGGCTGTGATACGACGTCTGCATTTTACAGGAGGGGTATAGCAACAGTCTTTAAAATGTTTGAAAAACAAGATTTAGTTCAATGTGCTGAAGTTTTCAAAAAAAGTAATTCGACTCAACAAGAAATTATCACCAACGTGATTCAGTTTCTTTTTCTATGTACAAAGCTCCGAAAAAAAACCTTCCTAGATAAGTATCGATATGCATGTTTCGTAAAAAACACTAAAAATGAGAAACAGGTGCAATTAGTCTTCCTCCAACCTCAGTTGCTGCTCATCAATATCTTTTCCGGGTATATCACCAAGTTCAAGTGTGACTTGGTTATCAGCTAGATCCAAAAGACTGGGGTTGGAAGTTGGTCGACAATGCATTTAGAATAACTTACCAAGAGAATTCGTTCTATACTCCATCTACGTATGAGCAATAAAACTGAAAAGGTTGAACATGTTCGCTAATCTAGTATTACTACCAATAAAAAGATGGCGCATCCGTGAAGTTTTCAATATATGAGTAAGGTTACTGAACAATAAAACAAGCTGAAAATACAATCATTGGGATCATGAAAAAAACTAATTAATACAGTTTATCGTATGATTTTCACTATAAAGGGTTTTACAGAAACCGCGACACGTGTTTCGCTATACAATAGCTTCTTCAATCATAAACCAGCATTTGGATCATAATGAAAATTGATAAATATAGTAACGAATATATTATGAAAAAAAAAAGTTACAATTTTTTGTAATTTTGATTGGGTTATGTGATGTATATTCACGGTTCGTTCTCCATCCAATGCGGAAAATATCAATTCCAATCGCCCAGTCTTGCGTTCTAGGCATACTTGTTGCGTCAAAGTTCTGCCTAACCCACCATAATAACTAGACCTCACGCTCCTTGCAAGATTCTCACCGTTAAAACCGTCACCAATCAGGACCAGGCATAAACGGCCTTCGTCGATTTTATCGAATTCCGAACACAAAATTTTTATGTTGGCGGAATGATGGAATCCACTTGTGTTACGTTAATCCAGAATTTTTGAAAAATAAAACATAAACCTGAGTTTTTTATATACTATATACATACAGGTATTATTTGAAAAGTATAAATGATTTTGTCCCGCTTCAGAAGGTTTCTAATTTCAAATAAATTTGAAAAAATCGGAGCTGCTTCTGAGGAATTCCGAGGAGATTCGACTTTATCAGTGAAAACGGTGTTTAGGGATATAACAAACCATGTGTAGTTTCCGTATGTATATTACAATAGACAAAACTGATTTATTCATCGTTCTTCACAAGGTCAGTTCAATTGGGATACTTGTGATATTATCGAGTCGAAGATTCTGAATTATGAATAACATAATAAGAAGAAAATAATTCTAATTAAAATATGACCTTTCAATTAAACGAGATTCGCACAATAAAACTTATTATGAAATAATTTAACAAATATAACTTGTTACTTGCACTAAACAGAAATAAATCTGGTGGAAAGACCAACACGAATAATAACAGTAAAACACAATGGAAGAAGTAAGTTCATAGACAATTCGGTATCTTAAAAGGTGCTCTGACCAATAATCAATAATCAGTTTTACCAATGCAATTCGCCACTTCAGATATTCAAGTGCATAGATTCAATTGCAGATGTAGTCTAGTCCACATGTACTTTTTTTGTAACCTTTTTTGGACCTTCCCTTAAACTTTCTAGGCAAAAATACGAATCGAATGACATCTTGGTCGTAATTTTTGGACAGGGCTGAAAAATGTCACCAAAAAGAGCTAAATCGAGTACATGTGAACCAGACTAATGGTCAGGGAAAATATAAAATTATTCCTATAAAACTATTAAATTTTAATACAAAAAAATCAACAGAAGTAGTTTGAAATCAATTTCAAAAGCGATTGGAAGTAGAAAAAAACTTTGAAAAAAATCAATACTGTTATTTCTAGATGTTTATATTGTATCCACAAAAATTGTTCGATGAACACAATACCCGGTTATCATGGCATTGTTGACTCTTATAGCTATTTATGATACGAGTGTTGAAAGAAAGGTTTTATTCTGTGAGTGAAAAATAAAACTTACTGTTAACACAGATATCATAAAAAGTTTTTTGTACAACTGTCCTGCTTCATAATAAAACAGATATTTCTATAAAAACAGATTCTGACGTCCCTTGTCAGTTAACTATTTTCATATTCATATATCCGGTACAGTCTATAAATGGTTTGAAGATTACCTAAAGAGTAGAAGACAAGTAACAAAACTCAATAAAGTAATGTCCTGTGAAATTCTCAATAACAACGGAGTACCTCAGGGCAGTACACTAGGACCACTCTTATTCCTAATATATATAAATAATATTGTTAATGAGGTAGACAAGTGTAAAATTCATCTCTTTGCTGATGACACACTTGTATATTACTGTGCACATGATGTGGAACATTTGATAGATACAATGAATAGTGAACTACAAAAAATAAGTCAGTGGTGTAGTTATAATGTATTGAAATTGAATGGTAATAAATCAAAATTCATGTAATTTACTAATTAAACGGAATATCATGAATATCCATATTGATAATATAGAAATAGAAACCGTTAGTGCGACGAAATATCTTGGAGTCTTAATTGATAGAGGCTTAACATTCAAAGAACACGTACAAGAGGTAATAAAAACTATCTCAAGAAATGTTAGCTTTCTAGAAAGGATTTCGTCAACACTTACAAAATCTGCAAAAATTATAGAATATATGATATATACTGCCAATAAAAATGAAATGGATAGATTACAAAAACAGCAAAACCGAGCCATGAGGATCATATTAAGAAAACCAAGACAGACACCAATCAAAGCAATACTGAAGGAATTGCAATGGATGGCTGTGACAGATCTCATATATTACTATACAATGATAATATAAAATGAATAATCAACTATCACCGACATACTTGAGTAGGCATATTGAATACAATGGGAATCATCATCACTATAATACAAGAACGCGTAATAACATATACAGTGTCCGCATCAAATGGGAAACTTTTTTATTTATCGTTTTATGTGAAATTTGATTTTGGCAGTAGATTTTGCTTAAGAAATGATGTCAAATGGCGTCTATTGACCTATTTTGTAGACGCCATTTGACATCATTTCTTAAGCAAAATCTACTGCCAAAATCAAATTTCACATAAAACGATAAATAAAAAAGTTTCCTATTTGATGCGGACTTTATCGGTGACACTGTATGTAGGAATTAAAAATAAAAAGTGTACTGAGAAATCCATTTACCATGCAGGAATGTTAGCTTTTAATAGTTTGAACAAAAATATTAAAGAATGGAGCACTCTTGCATTATTCAAAAGGAAGTTGAAGAGTCATCTATTGGGTGAATGAACTAGTCTTTATATAATATAAATTTTGACTGTATAAACTTTTTTTTTGTATTCTATATTTCTATTTTGTTTGTGTTTTATATTGACTAACAACTGTGATATTTTAAGTAGATGTTGTATATTTATTGTAGTACTCATCCTTTGAAATTTTATTCCTGAGTTTAGTTGACTAACACATTGTGGTGTCGTATTTGATTATAAATGTATTGTATTAGCAGTTTCATTGCTAAATAAAGGATTTATATATATTATCTGATTTGCTGTGAAGTGGCCGTGTCAGGTGACGCCAAATCACCTGGTTACCAACCAACAGTATTGTTTACAGCTCACGCGTTTTATTTATAAAGTCACATTTGAAGTTCTAGTGTTTAATGTCTTGCATAATAGTTGGAATTGTGTGTTCCTGACGATATTAAAGAGGCTGCAAAAAGAGCTTCAACTGAATCGTTACCAAAAAAATCGGCTCAGCAGTACGAAATCGCATATTCTAATTTTCTTAGCTGGGGTAGACTTGAAAACGTTAAAGAAAATTTCAGCGAAACCATCTTCTTAGCCTATCTAGAAGAAAAATCGGAAATTTGTAACTCGTCAACTTTGTGGAGCAAGTTTTCAATAATAAAGTCAAGTGCTTTAGTTAAAAATGGTGTTAATACAAGCAAATATTTCAAGGTAATAGCATTTTTAAAGCAGAAAAATGAATATTTATTATTAAATCGTCATAGTACACTTCGAATACACACATATTCCTTTTCCGTTTTTTGATATTTTCCGAAATAGCAATTTCATTCGAAAAAAACGAAAAACAGCTTTTTTTGTTTTCCCGTAAATTGTTTACGACCAGAGAGTTCCCGTAAATTGTTTACGACCACTGTATTGTTCCCGATGACAGTTACCTTTTTTCCCATTCAGTCGTCTTCGTATCTGTTACGGTTTAGAATATAGCAATGTTACCACATGATAAAAGAAGCGGCCTGTATAGATACACAAACACGTAATTAATTTCAACAAGAAGAAGCTGTGAACCTCAACCAAATATGAAATCCCATTCTAAGAAGTTCAAGAATAGCAAACAGCATGACGGCAGGTAGAAAAGGGTCGACAAATGTTATTGACAAATAACCTAACCCAGTTATAGGTACTAGCACACCAAACAACCTGAGTCAACATGAATACACCTTACGCAGCCGTAATATTCAGAGATGATAACTCAGGATGTATAAACCTCTGAAGAAGCTAGCCTGAAGAAGGAAGGTTAGGTTAGGTTAGGTTAGGTTAGGTTAGGTTAGGTTAGGTTAGGTTAGGTTAGGTTAGGTGTTTCTTCCTTATATAAAGAAGAAGAAGTTTAGGTTAAGAATGAACGAAATCATAAAAGGAGCGTATGATAATGTAAATATACATAAACTATACAAATACCTTTTGCAGTATGGAATAAACTCAGATATCAGTAATCTTATATTTAACATATTAATGAACAGGGAAAATATAATTATGGACAATGAGGGAGAGAAACATGGTCCAGCAGTAACAACCAAGGGTCTTCCACAAGGGTCCCCACTTAGCCCTACCCTGTTTAATATTTACATTGCTTCACTTTTTCAAATAATTCCTAATCACAGTGAATTAATAGCATATGCGGACGATTTAATAGTAATGGTGAAAGGATCAGATATTTCTGACATCAATCAAAAAATTAATAAAACCCTAGATATTATCCATCAATGGATGGATCATCACGACCTGACCATTTCACACGACAAATGTGAGGGTATTTTATTTAATAAAAAAAAAATACAAAATAAATCTCTTAATATAAAGATAAATAATGCAACAGTTAATTTAAAAAACGAAGTTAAATACCTAGNAACTCCATCATATATCCCAGAACATTTTGTTTGTGTATCTTTGTCAATCCCTAACATTCTCATAGCACGAGAAGAAGTAGACGAACAAACACTAAGAAGTCGACAGCATGATTCAGAATTAAAATATAACGGTTGTTACTGAGTGCTAACCCAGACAAGGACAACCCCCCGTATTGAGCTGGCCCCAATTGCGCCTGAACAGGAAGCATCGGCCAATAAAGAAGATAGAGAGAGAGAATGAACGAAATCTCGACTTTCAGAAAGAACAAAAACCAAGATAAATATATCTCAGTTCCAAACCACCAATATACGAAGAACTTTGGAAATATTTTCAAGGAACCAGGTATGAACGTGGTTTTCAAAACAAGTCATATACTACACAGCCTTTTGGAAAGTCCAAAAGACAAAGTTGAGAATTCGGAAAAGTCTGGAATTCACGAAATTGAATGTAAGGACTGCGATGCAAAATATTATGGGCAGACAAAAAGATCTATTGAAGTAAGATATAAGAAACACATATCTCACTTAAAATATGGAAGACCTGAAAAATCAGCAGTCAGTCCCCCATCATATTTTGCAACAAAACCAATCCATAGACTTGAGTTCATCAAGATTAGTTAGACAAGTTAACAACAACAGGCAACTAGATGCCTATGAGTGAGTAGAACTAAGTAAACACAATAATATTATGAATAACGATGACGGACCTATACCAAAGATCGTACTATATAGCTTTTTAAAATAATATTGTTGGATTTACTGATTAATACATAGGGACACATTGCAAAAATAAATTTAGATAGGCAATATTGTGAAATTAATTTTTATATAGCTGAAAATTGTTTTATATATAGCTATAAAAGTTAAACATATATTGAAAAATAATAGATAAGGCAAAATTGTAAAATTAATTTAGGTTGGTATACCTGTATGGGTGGTACACCTGGATGGTTTACCTGTATGGGATATCTATATAGCATAAATAGCGTTAGCTTCGCGTTACGCTAGTTGCACACACACACCGATTTTGGCCGACCAGTATAAAATCGGCCGATATTTTATTGGTAGCGGGTGCTTGCACACTCATCGAATTTTTATCGGTCAAACAATCAGTTGCTTTGTTGTCGTAATTAGCAGGCACTACCAAAACTAAGTTAATGCGTAGTAACTACAATTTCACCGAGCATTCGAGACTGGAATGGTCGATAAAAAACCGGTGAGTATGCAAGAGTGTATTTAGTCATGTACGCCACTACTTCCCGGTACTGCCGGCGATACAGTGGCAGTGGACGGCTGCTCACCGGTATTTTACCGGCGACGATCACCGGAAGGCATGTGTGCAAGGTCCTCGTTCCCACATGTGGTTCACTATTGGAATTTGGACGACCGGTACAAAGTCGGTCGTCCAAAATCGGTGTGTGCAACTAGCGTTAGTTTCTAGTTTAATCTTCCTCTTTGAAGATTATCACTTGGTAATCGAAACATGTGTCGAGGTGTTAAAAATAACGATTTGGTGTTGGGAAAAACTCCAGTAATATTCATTACTACACCAAAGGTTCCAAACAGTGCATCATAAGGCATCATAAGTAGGATTTCTGACTGGCCACTGTAAACTGAGGAAACACCTCCATAATTTGGGGATAATGGACACATCTCTATGCAGGATGTATGAATAGGAAGATGAGACTGTCAGGCATGTCCTATGCAAGTGCCTGGAGTTATCGTCAATAAGAGAGTGTGTGTTCGGCGAGTCTTGGCCTACGCCTGCCGATATAAAGGAGATGTCTCCCAGAGTCCTGTTCACCTTCCTGATAAGCACAGGATGGACGATGACCTAGGAGAACAACTCCTCGAGAGGATGTACAATGGGTAACATGTGGCCTAAATGCTGTGGCCTTACAATCACCCTCCCTACTCTACAGATACAGAACCTCGACCGCGAAAGCCTTACCCATTTCATACCTATACCAGATTGACAAAAATATTAATTAATTCTATAATTTTCAAATAAACGAGTTGGGGATCTACAAACTATCGTCCCACAACATTAACTAATAATTACGGTTTTGTACACAAAATCCATGAAATTCTAAAAACCAATCAACTTCGCATCATTACCTATCGATTACTAGTAACACCCAGGAAAATCCGATGACACCCCATCTGATGACGATGCAATACAAGAGAACCATCGACCTATATAACTGCGTAGTCATTAGCTCCCGAAACAGTTCTAATTTCATCATCGAAGATGATAATTTCTACATTACTTCCATTGTTAGTTCTCGCGGTCTTCCAGACGAACGCGGTGTTTTCTCCGTTTGATTTTGCCGACCAATACGTACAAGAGTTCCGGAATGGTTTGAATCAATTAACGAGGTGGGCCGATGAATATAAGTTCCATCAATTAGATTTCGATCCGCTGAGACATAATGAAAGTTTGGCATTTTTAGGTAAGCAGGTTCAATTGTTCAAATTTTTTTTTTTATTTAACTTCAGATAATACGCATACAAATGTGGGAGTAATTTCGGAAGTACAGTCTGGCATTCTCACCTTTCAATTTCACAGTGTGGAAAATGAGAACTACGAAACAACTAACTATATAGGAAAATGAAAATATTTCATGTATTTTTATTAGTACCATTATCATAGTATACATCAGTTTTGATGAGAAAGAGGAAGAAATATACTTTTTATTGTCCAAGAAATCAAGTTCTTATTGACAAAGCATGTTAGGAAAAAAATTTGTTAAGAGTGCTTTTTTTAAATATACAAAATATTTACAAAAGTAGAAATACCCTAAACTAATCAGTTGAAAAGTAAAAAGTTGTCAAATATTGTTAAAATGAATGAGTATATAAAAAAATCACATAAAAATTAACTAAAAAAGCCAATGAAATATAAATAATACATACTGAGAATAAAATCATACCTAAAATTGAAGCATAACAGAGTTTCACTGTCAAATTCCTTGAGATTATAGAATGCTTTTTTGAGTAGAGCTTCTTTTATTATTTTTCAGAATTCGTAATAATTTTTCTCCATTATGATTTCGGAGGGTACGTAATTATATATTTTTTTGCTTTCATGAATAAGAGAGTCCTTTGTCAGAGTAGATTCCAGAATATGGAGAGGTATTTTATTTTCCGATATTTCATTTGATTGCTTGGTTTTGGGGTATCAACTGTATTAAGGTTTTTGTGCATTAGCCATACAGACTCTAGAATAAAAATGCAGGTGAGGGTTAAAATTCCTTTTCTGATAGATAATGGTTGACTGCAGAATCCCCAAAAGGCAATTCCATATCCCAAATGATCCTCAGTCATAGAGTAGTAAACCATCTTCGTTGTAGATGTGCTCAGTTCATTTGTGAAGACTGACTAAAAAAATTATGAAAACTCTTGAAACTTCAATATAAAATTCAGAGAAAAATAACACACCTAATTTGTTTTTTGGGGAGGGCGAGGGGAAAGAAAGGTTTTGTCTTTCTACTTCTCCATCTTTATACAAAAAGATGAAAATCTTCCAAATAAAGGAAACAAGCAATTAATCTCAAAAAATAATATATTTACAACGATGTGTAGATTATGCAAAGAAGTAATTTTCAGATAAAAACTGGAAGAAAAACCCTCTTGAAACAACTACTTTCATATAAACATTGAATAACACGAGAAAAACAATACTCTCGAAACAACTACTTTTATATGAACATAGAGTTATGCAAAAAACAGTGCTTATAAAAGAATCAGTGCTACCGCATAGAAAGTCACACATAAATCGAAGGCAGGTTACAATTACACGTTTGAGATTGGGACATACCCCTGCTGCTGATAATGGGTCTCTTTTGTTTGTAGCCGACCTGAGGCTTTGTTGTATCTTCCTCGTGGGTTTAAAGACTGTTTCGATGTCGTGTTTGCCCAATAGTTTTCCAATTATATCCGTGACCCTAGGGATGAACGGTAGATATGCGCGTGCAACAATCTGATCCTTTTTTGTTTTCTGAACCGTGGTGCCCTTCGGTCTCATGGCTCTTCTGGTCTCGGAGGCACTGTATCCATTCGATCTCAAGATCACTTGAAGGTATTTCAGTTCCCTCTCCAGATGTTCTGGTTCACATATTCTCCGAGCCCGTTCCGTTAGAGTGGAGATAACTCCTCTCTTTTGGCTAGGATGGTGGTTCGATAGTGCGTGCAAGTATCTATCTGTGTGTGTGTGTGGGGGCAATAACACTGAAAACCTCAGCCGTGAAAGTCTAAACCATTTTGTCAATGTAATACTGTCAGAAAATAATCCTCAAAAAATGTTAAAATAACACACAGTCTTATGGCAGCTACCATAAGTGTCACCAGTGTTACGTCACATCTGCTCGGCGCTTGTTTAACGTGGCGATTTTGTAAGTAAGCAATCCTGTATGTCCATAATCGTTGGGTGACGGTTGGTACTTGGAATTTAGCGAAAGACTCAGTTGTGTATACAGCACCTGAATGGGAAACGTTAGTGTATATGTACTGAAAATTTTCAAATTTTTCAATTGTTTCCAAAACAAGTATTTTCATAATAATGGATGGTTTTTAGAGACCTAATTTATTGTTTCTTTCAATGTTTGAATACAACATATTTTTTTTTAATCTACTTATTCACTATGACTTACCATCATTAACTAAATGAGTTCTGTAAGTACTGTTATGAAAAATGCATTGTATAGTAGTTTAATGTATCACTTCGACTGGGAAAGCTACTGTATAACGAAACGCGTCTGTAGTGAAGTAATTAGTGTGAAAATTGTTCATCATCAATAAATTGTTCATCATCAATAGTTCAATAAAATTTCATTTTTAACGTATTTAACCACTGAAAATTAAAGTTTAGTTTGAATTTAAGAACGTAACTTTCAGGACAATCAGAAATAATAGGAGGGTACTCTTCTGATTTTATAACTTCATGCATGGAGCGAATTCAATGCAAACGCATCGTGATAATAATATATGTCAAACTGGCGCATTCACCATTCCTCGAACTTAAAAAGGTTTCAACTCAAAACTAGAAACCTACATGAATTAAAGAAGTGATCATCGAGGAAAACAAGTGATTATAACGTTGAGGAACTAAAACTTATATAGGGTGTCAATAAAACCCTTGAAAAATAGTTTTGGATTTTTGAAATATTTTTAACCAAAAAATACATGATGGATATTCAAAACACGGAGTGTTTTGTTTATGCTGAAGTTCAGACTGAAACAGTGAATTTTCTGAATGATTAACTTTCGAGAGTAGTTGTATAAATAAAGGTTCTCAGTTCCAACTTGTTGATGCAAAATTGTGTAAATAACATTATACGTATAAATTATAATTTCAATGAAGAATTACTGAAGATCAAACAGTGGATAACATTATTTACATTCGTAATATCTCTAAGGTCAAATAAAAAAGAGTAAATAATGTAGAAGAAATGCCAGCAAAAGAATTATATGTGCGACTTTTCAGGGTTTTCATTACTTATTCAGTATTCGTTTAGCTCAACACATTTCTCTGGGAATTTCTTTGTACTTATCACTCCCGCACCTTACCTTTCGATTTTCGATCATTCTGGAAACCTCACTTTCAAAGACAATCCATGTCCGCACTGTATCCTTTCTTCTCTATTGAAAAGTAAAACTGGAACGTCTGACGTAGAATGAATCCAAAAACAAGCACATTTCCCAAGCTTTCAATTTGTCTAATTAAACATAAATAGATTCTGATTAACGGAAAAACAGAGAAACATAAATAGAAGAGAACATTCGAATGAAGAAAGACAAATTGTTCTCATTCAAGATGTTTTTCCATTGAATATTTTATCACTTCATTCCGTGTTCGGAATCACACGTTAAAAGGTAAGACCTCGTTAGTCCTCAGGTCACACAAGTCTCGACTTCTGAGGATTATCGTTCATAGGGATGCGACAGTTGGTTAACGAAAAAAGATATTTTAAACAAATGCCCCCTTTATCAATGTTTGGCGTATACACAAAGTAAATGAATGAATATTAAAGCTATACTTCACTTTACTCAACAAAACAACATATCCATTGTCAGCGATAATGCTTATGGACAAGTGACATCATTGGCGTTGGTTGGTGTTTACTGTCATAATATATGAAACCGTTTAGGGGCAAACTTGAATTATATTTTCTCTGAATATACATATTTCCTTTCATATTTCAGAAGCAGAAGAATTTGACTTCATCATTGTCGGCGGAGGACCATCCGGAGCAGCCCTGGCTAATAGATTATCGGAAGAACCAAAATGGAGAGTTCTCTTATTAGAGGCAGGAGATGCAGAAACTACCATAACGCAAGTACCGTCTTTGCATCCCCATCTTCTAACAACACCCTACACTTGGGGATACAAAACCACTCCACAAAAATCTGCCTGTCTAGGTAATTCTAAAATCCTTCACTATACAGGGTCGCTGATTTTATTCAGGAAATGATGTGCTAAATAAATTTTGTTCAGAATTTCGAGCAGAATAATAAGGAATAATATACAGTGTGGTGCACTGTACTATCCACTACAGTGTGGTCTGCAACAAATGGGCAACTTTTTTATTATCGATTTCTCAGAAAATCTTATTCTTGACAAAAGTTGGTGC